CCCCAACAAACCCATACTTGAGACAGAACCGCGCTAATGCCGCTCTGCAGACCGACATTCTGAGAAAAACTATCTTACAACTCCCCCTCCCCCTCCTCTCCCCCGCCCTCCTTCCCCCACAGACCAATAATTGTGAAAAAGCACTTCCTTATGGGGATCAGCCCGATATCCTAAAACATTCTTGATTACCAATACCTACAAACTGTACTGCCCTACGAGGCGCTCATATATGATCTATTCTATGGACACCCAAAAACCGAATTTTGAGGAAAAATGAAGCTACCAGCTACTTCGAAACCTACACAATGGTATTTTTGAGGAGGAACTATCCCTGGAATCCAAAGAAACCAATAATTTGTGACAAAGTTGCTCTACGGGCCACCTACAAACCATTACTCTGAGAAAGACTGTCGTATGGGATTAGACCGATATTTCAAGGAATAAACTGCCCTATGGGCCGCCTGCAAATAATTACTGGATGGAGCCGCCCTATAGGAGGGGGGGGGGGGTTGTAGACCGATATGTAAAGAATCGCCCCATTCGCCTCCTGCAAACCAATATTTTGGGAAAGAATACCCTATGGGCCGCTTGCAGACCAATACATCAAAAAGAACTGAGCTGCAAACCCTCAAACCGATATCTCGAAAAGAGCTGCTCTAAGAGCCGCTCAAAGGCCGATATTTGAGAAAGAACCGCTCTGCGAGAGTCCCCCATAAACCAGTATCCTGAGAAAAAATAATTTTGAACCACTTACGATAACTAAGCTTCATACAAACCCACTGACCGACAATCCTAGGAGGTGCCCTGGCCGCTTATAGAGCAGCATTTTGAGAAATAACTATTGACCTAAAAAATGCTCTATAAGAAGCTAATGGAACGATAACTGAATGGCTGTCCTACGAGCCCTCCCCCCCCCTACAATCGTATTTAAAAAAGAAGCGCATGACGGGTCCACCTATAGAACTGTAGGAGCTATAATACCTATTTAGCCACCTACAGAACTATAATTACAAAAATGACGTGTCCCACTTGCGGACCTATACTTTGACAAAAGCACCCTTCAAATCCCCTCTTTGGTGGGAACCAAGTGTCGTAGGCGATAGTGGTGTCGATAATAATTTATCCACAGACGAACCCGGTGTTGAACCGGGGAGAGCAACCTATAATACAATCGGGGGCTCCTTATATAGGTAGTAAGGCGGAGCTGACCCGTGCACAATCGGATTGTCCACGAAATATATGCAAGAAAGAGAATGCCGCGGCTTGGCGCGGCCCCTGGAAGATAGGTGCCACTCATTGGTGAGTGATTCGGCACTTAAATATAAGCGATTGGGTGATATAGCCTATGGGGAATACCCGTAAGCTATTAGGATTATAGAATTGTTGAGGTTGATGGTACATAAATCATCAACACCCTCGATCCCGACAACTGTCGAAAAAACTCCCTATGGGGAGCTTATAGACTAATATTTTCAGTAGAAGTGCCTTACGAGCCCCTACAAATCAAAGAAGTGCCCTTCGAACAACTTACGCATTGAAAGATCTGCCCAATGGACAACGAACAGACCGGAGCTGTAAAAATGATTGCAATATGAGCTCTAAAGACCTATTAGAATCGCCCTACGGGCTGCTCACCTTTTATTTCGTGAAGAACAAAGAACTGAACTTCATCAGTCCTCACCAGTTATGGGCAGCCATGAATTCAATTATGGGCAGCCAAGAACTTCAGCAGGAAGATGAGAATGTGAACAGTCGAAGCGTAAACTTTGAGAAACTACTACAGCATGTTTACGCAAGACAACGAGTTCCCAAGTCACTCCAAGTACAAACTTGTGAAAAAAAGGGGGGGGGGGGAACTGTTAGCAACCTTACGAGAGTGTCGGCACCTCCGCAACTATAGCCTTTTTGCACTTGATAGCCGCACCCCTTTCGAAAACATTCCTCGAGAAGGGACGATGCTTACCCCTTCGAAAACACGCTAGCCTTGTTGACAATCTGTACCCTCCGCACCCTCGGCAATCACTCGCCTCAGTCGGCAACTTGTCAACATGTAAGTGCAGACCCTTGCCATTCTTTATTATAGAACCAGTCCAAAGCGCCGCTTCGCGGCGCTTTGGACTGGCTGTGTGTGTAAAGTGGGAATGTGACTAAAAGCTAGAACTTGTAAAGATTTGTAGCGAACCTTTTTTAAACACGTAACTACCCCAGAGATTATCAAAGTCGTGGAACTTTCCTGCTTTCGAAGGATTCGAAAATTTTCTTATCAAAACTGGCAACAGAATCATGGCTGCTCTCTCCCCCCCCCTTTCCCAATTTCTCCTAACCGCACCGCTACTTTTTTTGCTCACGGAGACACGATTTTACAGGCACTTAATTTACAGATACTCGAATTTTGTATAATTTTGCGTTTTGCTATCCGAGTCTTTCCAGGATTTTCCCTCCACCCCCCCCCCCCCTTCCTCCGCTTCCTTCAACTCCTTTTCACCCAGAAGCTTCTTAACGAAATTTCTTGAGGTGCGTCTGATCACGATCGAAACAAACTCAGCCTGCCAGTTCTCCATTCTGCGAAGATTCTCGAATGCTCTCAAACTTTCACACGTAAAAAAAATTTTGTGATTGAAGCCCCCGTCTCAAACAAAGTACTCCCAGTTACAGTCGAGTAGATTTTCCGCTTAATATAGTGTGCTTGCACAGAAGGTCCGCGGTAAAATTTGCGCGTGAGAAATTAGCTTTGACTGTGACGCCGGCCAGTTGCGCGCGCAAAGTGCCGGCAGTGCTTTCGCAGCTACCTGTTCACTTGGGACTGAAAGACTGCTAACTTCGATGGAAATCTTTAAAGAGTTCGTGCTTGCACCAAAAGTTGAAAAATAAACTTTTCAAAAATGGAATCGATGAAATTTTCTGTGGGACCTCATAATTTTGAAACAAATTGAATACTTGCGAATAACACTGATCATCCTGATAAGGTGCTTCTTGCAAAGTTATTGTGGAACATCAAAACATTGACTATTGCACTTAAAACCTTAGCAAACTTTTGTTAAATTTGTATGTTATTTTTAAAACGAAATTGAAACATTGAATGTTGTGCGTTGATGCCAGAGCAAGTGAGAAAAAACTGTAGCAAATCGGCAGAAAATTCTGTCAAATTTGAATCGTGTGTGTCGATGGTTTGGAACCTAACTGGAGTAACGTAGGGAGAGATGATCAGTCAACATGTATTCTGAACTGTACTTTGTACCCACAGCCATGATACCTTTTCTGGAAGCTCTCAAATGTTTGCGCAGTTATGGCCTGGCAAATGCCAAGGATCACTTCTTGATCGCTCTTTGGGGCGCATATACAGACATGTTTACGTGGACATACAGACGCGCTGACTCACATGGGGGTGCTTGCGCTTTATATAGAGTAGGATAGAATGATCTTGTCAACCCCCGCTCTGGGTGGACGGTGCCTTTAGATTGTCCCAGCAATAAACTCTATTTCCAAATCAGTGCGGTTTTTGTTCTCCCAGTATACTTAGAGTACCATTCGATAGAGAGGAGCAAGCTCTACAAAAAGACCACCAAAGATCCATCTAAGATTTGGAGCCAAAAATCAAAATTTTTAGCTATCTTAAAAATCGGATCCTTTTCTAGAAAACTACTACGTACTTTAGTTTAGTCTTCAGATCTTACAAGGGAACCACTCTTGGTCGAAGTAGCGTTTCCATATGAAATGTATACTGTCTTATAGAGCATGGAACGCAGATTCCAAATCTGCTTTTCTTATCTGCAAAGCGCTTCTGGGAGGGGAGTTCTGGGAATTTTCTTTTGCAAAATTCAATGGTTTGGCTAAGGTAAAAACAGGTGTTGAGATCTTTCCGGTGCTTGGAAGGAGTAATGACTGACAAGAGCCTATTAGATTGAAGGTAGTTTTGCATGAAACGCCTTGATAGTGACCATAGCCCCATTCGAGCTCATAGACTGCATTTTGAATGATTTTATGGTCGCCACGCGTTCGAATCTTTGCTTTGAGAAATTCCCATAACTTCCCTCCCAGAAGCGCTTTGCATATATGGAAAGCAGATTTGGAATTAGCGTCCTAAGCTCTATAGGATAGTATACATTTCATGATGAAACGCCACTTCGACCAAGTATCCTTCCCTTGTTAGACACATAGTGGTACGCAAAAACGTATTTGGTGGATTTTTCGAGGTCTCAAAATTGAGAAACGAGGATGGTCCGAGAATGCCAAAATCTCACTTTTTTCGGCGTTTCCATGTAAATTCTGGTATTTCTCGATTATAAGTGCGCATACAGGGGTAAAGTTTTAAGATTATACGTAAGGCTCGTAGTATACAATGACATACGTGGGGGGGGGGGGGGCTGGGCGGAGAGTTTGCCGTTTTTGGACTATCTTTTTTTTCTGCGCGGAAAAAAAACCCAATAAAGACATATTTGAGTACCAATATGTGCCTAATGTATAATGACCAAGTTGGAGGTCCGTAGGGTCTTTCCTTGCAAAAATCCAATTTCCAGGTGACAAAACTTCTCGATTTTAGCTTCAAACTCTACATGGAATGCGACTTAGGCGGATCCTTGGTGGCCGTTTTGTAGGGCTTGATCTGCTTTATCGAATGATACCCTAAGTATGCTAGGAAAACGAGCTCGAATTATTTAAAAAGGAGTTTACTTTCGGGACAAGCTAGTAAATATAACACAACGAACAAAGAGATATCCTTTTATGAAAAAATGGGTCCGGATAACGGAAAATTGTCGGGAAATCATACTTTAGGCAGATAGAAAAGGGAGACAATTATTGCCAAGACATAGCGTAAATAAGCAAAAGAATGACCAAAAATGTATTTTTCGCAGCTCTTTTCACACTTCATGTGGACCATCCTTAAGATCTTTTGCCGGACGAGGGCCAACTTCGTTTCCATTGAATAGCATTCACCTGTTGAGGCTTTTCAGGCTTTTCACAGCGATTTCAGATTTTTATACATTTGTAGTCCAATTTAGTTTCTTCGCCGAGATTCCTTAATGGAGCGACTACTTGGTCATAAGATGCTGTACGGTCGCCTAGAATCATACACAGCTATGGGTTACACGAGAGCTTATGCACCACAGGAGGGCAGTTCTGCACACGTAAGTTGCATACTTAGGAATTCAGGATGTAAATTTGCTTGGGATCAGATTGAAAACTACACTGAAGACACACTGAAAGGAAGACGTGGACCGCATACTCCTCCACCTCCCGAAAGCACAAGCTTAATGATGGAGCCCAAGCAGCAGCAGTCAAAACCCAGAGGTCCTAGGACTCCTCCGGGATCCCCAGGTGGGCTGGAATGTTCATCCAATGTTAAATCTAACCAAGGTACTCCAAGGTAGTTGATGACTTTGCTTAGGACCTCGTACTCCGCCTCCACCTCAAGAGTCGCAAAATCCCGTCCCTTCCGTAGCTCCTGCCATGCAGACCTTACTAGCAAACTTGGCGGCTATGGCTGGTACTTCAGGCGCTCAGCTGGCCTCATCTCTAGGAGAAGATCTGAATCGAATTGTGGGCAGTGTGAATACGGTAAAATTTCCTTTGCTGTTGATCATAGTTATAATTGCATATGTGTAATTGTAGGGTGTTTTCTTGGAATCTTTCGTGACTGCGCTGCGTACTGCTACAGCACAAAGCGGTGCTTCATTAGTAGTCGAAGAAAAACCTCCGCAACCAGCAACTCCTGCTCGTGATGTTTCCTCCAGGTTTGTAATGAGATGCAGTTATGAATCAACAGGGTCTCTGATTATAGGTCTTTCTCACGACCTGAGGCTGATATGGATTCGGTAAAAATGGAGCTTGTTTCGGACTGTTCACTGTCTCCACTTCCGGACTCGCAGTCGCAATCTCAGTCACCTCTCAAGGCTCCACCACCTCCTCCTCCTTTAATCGCGCCTCCCCCTCCGCCTCCAATCCTACCAACACGTCCTGCTTCTGTTGTGAGTATTCAGCCGCCACCTCCACCAGTAGCTCCCATGGTTAGTTCTTTTACAACATTGCAGCGGTGGATGTTCTTTGCATGAATAGCTTATAGTCTTAGAAAGACAAGTTTTTGTGCTGCATGTTGATTGTGAAGAATTGACGTACTTTCCATCGGTGCGTAGCGTAAGTTGCTATGTCCGCTGCGTTTCTCAAAAAATTTCGATTTGATGGGATAACTAGGTTTTTCCAATGATTTCTATTTGCTATAATTGGTTGAATTACATGTTTCCAGTCTTTTCTTGTCTGCTGCGGAACATTTCAATTCTTTAGGCATATTTGAGGCTTTTCCTCTTGTTGCCAGTAGAACTGTTATTTAATGCAATACAATCGTGAGGCACTTACTATATACTCGCCCACGTTCCGCTGATAATTTCAATGCCCATGTTCCGCTGAGAAGTTGAATCACGAAGCGTGAAAAATCGAGCCAGAGGAGGATGCTGCGGGGTGCTGCTCCCATCGGTGTGACTGGTTTAGGACTCTGCTCGCGAGAGTCGGTGAATTTGCGGCCATGCACACGCAGGATACCACAAGGCCTCAATCCAATCAAACAAACCCGTACTCTTGGAAATCAGTAACTGATTCAGGTAATTGGAAGCTAATGTATGATAGCAGAAAAGCATTTGAGAGAAGGAAGATACAGCTTTTGTTAATGTGTATTGGTTTCTACAGTATGCATAAATTCGCTTGTCCGCTCTGCGAAGTTTCGCGCAACTGTGAACGTACTGATCTGATACAGTATGATACGCCCTATGCCGTGAAGCGAGACTTGAAAGAGCTGACGAGCGAATCTAGGCTTTGATAGAAAAGACCAATACGTAATGACACAAACCGTAACTGAAAAAGCTCAGTGCGCATGCAATGGCCGCATACTCACCGACTTTTGCGACCACGCGAGCCCTATATAAAGTAATAAATTTGAGGCTCCCTTCTGCGGTGAGCAGGGGTCTTAGAGGAGATGCGTCATATCTCGCTACTCTAGATATTTCTCTTCTTCCTTCTCTATCTTGCTTATGAGTGTTCTCATACCCTTGTACCGCGCATAATGGATGCGAGGTCACTGCCATACAAGATTGGTTTTTGCCATTTTGTGTGGTCCCTTAGGGATCCCTTGGGGATCCTTAAAGGCAGTGTCCGGGCAAAAACTCGATTTTGAGATTTTGTGCTTATACGGGCCTACTGGCCATGCTGAATCCGAAAATCCATATTGGAAAGCGCGAAAACGGCGAAAAAGGGTTCTAATATAGGAGGGAAATCAGCAGGTGGGCGGGGCTTTCCCCAGTGCGATTTCACGCTCCCAGCTCCAGGAGCGGTTTTCTCGATTCCGCTAGCCGTTCTAACATTGCTACCGGCCTAGTGCGAATGATTGACTTGAAACCGGAAGCGAGAAGGTTGCTGCGGAAGCCGGGAACGTGAATTCGCAATGGGGAGGACCCCGCCCACCTGCTCATTTCCCTCCTGTGTTAGAGCCGTTTTTCGCCATTTTCGCGCTCTACAATGTGCTTTTCGGATTCAGCGTAGCGAATAGGCCCAAGTAAGCACAAAATCTCAAAATCGAGTTTTTGCCCGGACACTGCCTTTAAGAGGTCACCTCTCATTTCCAAAGCGATTTATCCTGCGAAGTCAATAACGCTGCAAAATTGTACTGAGGATATGCTACGGCACTGCTAAGCATGTTTTCGACAGGAGAAATGGAATTTGAAGACTGTGTTTTCGATAATCCCTAGCTCGCGAGTAGTGGTTCATCGAAGATTTCGATGTCTTGAGATTTCATTATTTTTACTATAGACATGTTTAGCAGCGTCGTATTATATCCTCAGTACGATTTTACAGCGTTTGACTGACTTTTCAAGAAGAAAAATGACTTTTGAAAATGTGAGGTGATTCCCTGCGGATCCTTCAGGTGATTCCCGAGGGATCACACAAAAGGGCAGAAAACCAGTATTGTATGGCAGTAACCTGGCACACACTATGCGCAGATGTAAGGCTATGAGAACCTTCATATGCAAGTTAGAGAAGGAAGAAGATATATCTAGAGTAGTGAGATATGACCATCCCCTCTTAGATCCCCTCCCCAGCGGGGATGTACTTGTATACGGGTTTTAGAAATGTCGTAAGGTTTTTCACAATGAAAGGCGAATATTCAATAGTTCTAGTGCTACTGATTCCATTTCGAGTTCATCTTTTCGGCCGCCCCCTTAGTGAGCGTGGCGACCCCGCAGCATCTTATTCTAGTGATTATCTTTTTCGGAATTGATTTTGCAGCGGTGATTTGAACAATTATTCGGATATGGGTCTCGCTATTGTGCTGCATCAAAATCTCACCAATTTTGGATTAGAGCATACGGATTTGTAAGGCCTGAGTGTCAACCTAGCTTTGGTTTTAAGCGCTTCAGCCAAAGTTGTTCATCCACCGCTGAACTCTATTTTGATCCTTATTGTATATCATTTGTTCTGTTTACAGGTGCCTTTCATCCCTGTAGGGGCTCCATCAGTGCCTGGCCAGAACATTGCCATGCAGGCTCCACAGTGTTCAATACCACCACCGTTCTCCATAACTTCGACGCTTGTCAGATTACCACCACCAATGCCGCAATATCAGACTCAAGCGCCACCAGTAGTCCCTCCTCCGCATATGGCTAATGCATCTGCAGTGAACACACCACCACTAAACTCTGCTCATATTGCGTCGTACTCTACACAGCAGCCTGTTTGCTCCATTTCTGCGATGCCTAATCTCACAATTCCACCTCCAAGCATCCCGAGTAAGGCTCCAGAACATCCTCCGCCGTTGTCGCTGCATGCACGACCTTCTGAAGTTCCGAATATTGCAGCGGCCGTAACTAACACGATAGCAAAAGCAGTGATGGCCACAAGCATGAAACAGCCTACCCCTGTGATTCGAGTCACTATAGAGGAGACTAACCAAACATCGGTGGCGTCAGATCCTTCTAATCCGCTGGAGAAGTGGCGTAACACCAATCTCGCTAGCTCTTCCGCTAAAGTCGCTAACCAAGGGGGCAACTCCTCAGGTCCAAACTATCATTGTGTTGACAAACGAAATGAGAGCTCTGTAGGCATGCAGACCGGCTTTGGTGGCGATAATATTAATGCTGTTCAGGACGACAACCGACGAAGACAAGCTCCTCCTACGGGAGAATCGGTGAATTTGAAACCTTTGCAAGGATTGCCTTTCCAACCTCCGCCGTCGCCGAAAATGGCAGCTACCAGTCAAAGTGTCACTAACACGTTGTTGTCTGCGCTCGGAATTACTTCTGGTTCGTCAAAGGCGCAACCCTCCAAGAATTCGGAACAAAAGATGGAGCGGCAACTAAGCAAGAATCCAGTTGGTTGTGAATTCATGAATACGTCACAACAAAATCAGCAATCGAGAATTTACGGTAACTGTTCAGCGAACTTTGCTCCAGCTATGTCTGCGGGACAAAATCAGCCCAATCCTAGCGTCGGTAGACCTTTAGACGCAGCGCGCACTCTGGGAGTTTCAGGCTTCTTTCCTCCGTTGGAACATTCCACCGCTGTGCCTTCTCAAAATTTAACAGTCTCTTGTGATCGTGTTTTCATGCCTGCGGTTCGCCCTATGGGCCCTATAGCACCCCGACCACTCCCGCATATCTCGATTGTACAACAGCGTAACAACATACGTCAGCCTCGCCCGCATCGTGGAAGTGCCGGGCGTCCGTATCGACCGAAGCAGTGATGGTGACGAACTTCATCGCAAAAAAGTCCGGTTTGCATAATGTTTTCATATTCCTGTCGTCGAACTCTTTTGTTTCATATATGTAACGTGCCAAAGACGGTTTTCTTACTTTCAGCTGAATCGCTCTATCTATTCGCTATCATCTATCCGGTTTGGATAGTTTTTTGTTTCTCCAATGAAGTTGATACCTGCTATGAAATGTTTTAACGTTTTTTTTTTTGAACAGTCGTATTGACTGGTCGTATTCTCTGCTGTGGATGTTGCTATGTTTGTTAGTCCTCTGTTTCATTCGTTTTTTCAATTTTTACGTTCAAAAAATTCTCTCTGACTTATGCTTCCAAAGCTCTGCTGAGTCTTTTACTTCATTATATACTGCGATTGGTGGTAGCAATCCCTCCGACTTCATCCAAACGCCAATATATGATCATCATGTGGCTGTTTTTGAATGCTGGCGTTCGTTGAACCATATGCAGAAAGGAGTTTTGTTGCTGGCACTCTCTCCCACAACTCGCTTTTTTCGACTCATACTCATTCTTCTCATCATTACTTCCATTCCATCTGGAGAAGTCTGGTAGTCCTGCGGTGCTCTAACGCATTTGCAAAAACAATGACTCGTGTTTGTTTTGATATTTTCCGAGCAATATTAAAGATGTTTGTGCAGCTGATTGTGTTATTGATTGATTTCAAGATCATCCGTATAACAACAACAACGTATAACAACAGTATATGAGCACATCAAGTGCCTTTTATTCAAATCGATTGCGTACTTTTTCTCTCGGTTTCTGCATTCCTCTTCATTGTTACGTAAAGAAAGGCTTTCTTGTAATAGCATTTTAGTGCCAAAATATGTATCTTGGTCTCATATATCTCATCATCTTGATAGATTTTTGAGCGACGATATATCTCGTTATACAAGATATGATATTTGTCTGTGATGGTTATCTCCGCCGTACAGCTGTCAACGGCGACGCGAATTTTGTTCTGAAGTCATGTTATATGTTTTTCAGTCTGAAAAAAAAAAAGACTACATTACTCATTTCCTCCAAGCCGAATCCTTATTAGGGATTGGTCCACAACTGCTGATATCTTTGTTTCATATTGATTTACAAACATTTTCACAATATACATCGGTCATCTTCTTTGAGTCACACTCCTTTCTTTGTATCTTCTTATACCGAATGGTAACAACAAAATTCAATTTTCTTGCCTGAAATTCACATTCGAGCCGCCGTTTCCGCGATAGTATGTGAATGCTAAATGGTTTAGGCGTTTTCCATGCGTATAGCGGGCGTGTTCTGCAGACTTTTGAACACGTCGAAAAACTCGTTGAACCTCCACTTCAAAGCATCGGTTTTTGTAATCTCTAGCTATCAAAAACTGCCACGCGCATACATTGGCAAACGTCGGCAAAGCTGCGCCCGCTATACTGTGGGGAATAGACGATAAAGGGCAGAGTCCGTGTAGATTCAAACTTACTTGGCTACTATCATGATCAAGCAATAGGGTTCTAATTAGAGAGCGCAAACTCGGTCTCCAAAAGCTGCGTTCAAAAGAGGATTGGCGTGCACGATACGCCGAGTACAATGCACCCACTCCGGTGTGCTGCCCGCCTCCGTAAAGAAAATCTAATCCCGTACGTTAGATCTTGACACGATTTCACAGCGATCACAATCGATGCGTTGTTTAAGGTGTTCAGCTTGCTTTCGACAAGCTAATCTTGGGGCACTCGTCTAGGGTTGTTAAGAATATCCTCAAAAAGGGGTGGGGGTTTTCGATGGATTCACTTTTTTCGTACATCAGATTTGAAGCGCTCTGAAAAAGCCAAGAAGGGAAGCAGAGAATCTGCTTGGACATTTGAGCTAAAATTGCATTCCACTTGTTCTGGGTCTAGCAATCCTTACAATGCAACGATAGTGGGCCAATTTGTGCCATAAAGAAATGCCTGAGGCGAACCAATTGCTGAACTCTCAAGCAGCGGCTGTTGAATTGACAACCTTAGAAGATCGCCTGCTATTCTTCAATAAAGACAGAAATAAGAACTTTCGAAAAGGCGGTTTTTGACTGCAATCAAAAGATTTTTTTTCAGACCGTCATAGTTGGTGCACAATAATCTAAGGCTGTGCATTGATTCCACGGGCGCACTGTGTTGACGTTTATTTGGAGAATATATTTTATTACATTGGAAGATGGTCCTTTCGCACGGGCGGTCTCCATCGCCATCTTGATGACTTGTCTCAACACCACGCATGTGGCCAATCTTTCCTTCCCCTGTGCTTTGCTTAGGCAAAAGCCGCGACAAGGTGTGTCGCGCTTGTCGATGATCCTGTGTAGAAAGCATCACGGTCGTGGGAAACATCTTACACCCATTGTATTACCCTCCGGTGCCGGTAATTTGGTACTAATTTGGGAGGTAAAAGCACTGACTTGGGAATCGGCCAGCCCCCGCAAATCACTGTAATAGGCCCGCACGCATGCCTTAGCCTCTTCGACTATGAAGTAGAGTGCGTTCGGCGCATTCCCGCAGAGAGCATTGAAAACGCTGAATCCTTCATCCTCTATTTATTTACGGACCATAATTTTGAGAATACGAATTATTACTAGTCTTACATTATATTAGGTTGTCCCGAAAGTTTTGTCGGTTTTTTCATCGCTCACCAAACCTCACAGAACACCAATCCATGGACGGCCTAGGTGTCATTCTATTCATTTTTGTATCCTCTTTCTTATAGCTATATTTGTTCCCTGGCCTACCCCGTCCTTACGATGTTATCGCCATGGCTTTCTGAGCACCTCAGCAGTAGCGCCAAAACTTTCCTGAATTTTCAAATTTTTATCTTGATATTTTCGATGAGCGCTGGTGACTGTTGTGTAGGGCAAATCTTTGGCTACATTGTACCTATTTCAGATAACGTGGGCCACGTTTATAATGTCCGTAATAATTATTTATTTGAGAAAAACCGCGGCTTTTTGAACACGTTTTATCACGTAAAATTACCGAAAGTTCCAAAAAGCTGTTTTTTGAAGCAAATCAAACTTGGTTATGTTGCATAAATGATGTTAAATAACAACCAAGTTTGAATTCGCAAAAACTCAAAAGCTTTCATGCTTTTGCTGCAATTGCGCGTTTCATGACTTTGCTAAAAACCAAAGCCTCCGGAGAAATAATTTTTTGAAGTTAAAGTCAGCAGATTAGGAGAATCTAAAAATATGAACTTGTAGCCCGAGAGTTGCTCTATTTGACCCATACTTAGTCTTTTCGAAACTTTGTAATGAAATTTTTGAAAATTAGCTCAACTTTATGCAGGTAAAATTGACAGGTGGAGACTTTTGGCTATCAAAAAAAGCATGCAAGATTTTGGTATGAAGGTGTATCCATAAGAAAGAGGAGGAAAAGCTGCATCGAATGCACGTTGAAACTCACTCAAATCTTCATTGTGCGTGGTTTTACAGTGGTTTGAAAAAACCGACAAAACTTTTGGGACAGCCTAATATATTAGGACATTGATAACAATGATCATATAGGAGGGATGAATGCGTCGTGCAATTAAACCATCATATAAAGACAAAGAAAACCTTTTTCTAAGGATTTTTCTTCTTTGGTCATCTTTTACCTGTCAACATGAATTTGTGGCTTGGAACCTTACAGTGTTTTTGAATCTAGAAAAGACGAGGAAATTTGCAGTACGCATTTACTACTTTGGGTCAAAAGTATTTGTAGAAAATAGAAACAGTGCGCTGATGATTTACACTACGACAGAACACTTTATTGAGAGTAACTGTAAGCAAATGTCATGCTATTTCAGAATCAGCTTGATGCCAGTTACAGTTCGATCTAGTGATTTAACGCGAAGAGAAAAGACAGTGTTCGCACTTGAGATGACCTGATAATTTTGAACGGCAAGCTCTTAACAGTAACGTCTTCTTAGAGAGCACTATTATTGCTATCTTCTTTGCAACTTTAGCATGAGGTATTTATCGCGTAAACAGAATAAATATCATTTTTGACTACATCGCAGACTTCATGTCATTTCAAGAATTCTTTCTTTTTCTACTTTTACACCGATTTTGTGAACCTAATTGAGCTATTGCTGTAATTTTTGTGCTATTCTCATTAGGCGGCTAGAAAGAATTTTTCCGATTTTCACTGCTTAAATCGTTTATTATGAAAGAGAAAACAAAAATGTGGAATGTTTTTTTGCTCTGAAGGATCATATCATCAATTTCACGACAAGTGAACTTGAGTACGCTTCACATACACTAAGTTTGATTGTAGTAACAGTTTATACTTATGATCTTCCTTTTTCCATATTATTTACCGCTTGGAACTAGTGAACGCAAATTTAAGTTTGTTCCAATGCATGCAAAGTCGAGTCTCTCTTAGTCTCAGATTGAATAGAGTATTTGATAGTCTACATTTATAATCTGAAATTGATATCTGGCAAGCCATTGGTGCAAATGAGGCATCTCCAAACAGCATCTCATTAGGTGCAACATGGAACTGTTTTCAAATCTGTCAGACAGCCCTTTTATCTGCAGTCGTATATCAACACGTAGTGAAGTCGTCTTTCATGGGAGATACGATGGTACATCAAAATAAATATCTCAACATTCTCGAATCTCTGCCTTTTTTTTCAGTTACTAGAGGTTATTTTTTCTCTTGCTGAAGCACGATTGTGGGCGCATGTTTGATTAAGACATTCAAAGACATGCGAGCTCTGCAGCGATCGGGCAGTAAAAACACATTGGTCGCGAGTTTATTCCTAATTGCCCCTATCACCTCAAGAGAAAAAAAACAAGAAAGTATAGGCTGCTGCATGACGAAGGCGCAACTTTGGGCGCGAACGCGGATTTATTAGCCGCAAAGCGCATGAGGCGAGGATTTAGATTTACAACGGTGAGGATACGCGCGCGCCGTGTTCGGCCCGCTTAACTGATACTGCTTCTGCGCCTTCGTCATGCAGTAGCCTTTACTTCGGTATATCGTGCATTATGAAGCTTTT